CTGGCCATCAGAGCATGGCGGGAGGGGGGTTTGCAACTTCTTCCTACGCAGTGGGAGGGCCTGGAAAGGTTGAGACACTGAGGCACGCATGAGTGGTCCCTGGGAGTCCGGTCCCCTCTCAACAGCTCCCACTGTGCCAGCAGCCGGGTGGGTTACGGGACTCCTTGGCATGCTGTCCGTAATTCTTAGTTGCAGCAATTCTTAGTTGCAGCTCCAAATTTCAAATAAGGCTCTTGCTCCCCATGTGGAGCCTGTCCTCGCCCCTCCAGAGGTCTGGTGGCGGCCTGGTGATGGCTGACCGAGAGCATTGCAGTGCCTGGCTCCGGGACCTGGCTGGCTCCTGGGCGGCAGCGCCAGCGGCTGCAGGGCCACTGCACCCCCTTGCCCAGCCTCGGGGCTTGCTCCTGCAGGCTGCTGGGAACACCCCTTCAGTGCTGGGCCTGCGGCACAGCCCCCTGGCTTCCCCGTACTCTGCCTGCGCCCCCATAGCAGCTCTGCAGCCTTCCCTGAAGCTGGTGGTCTCCCTGTGAAAGCAGGTTAGACAGTGGCTGGCCTACAAGTGCAGTCGTCCATGGCACTCTGTGAGAGCAGCCCACGCCTGCCCTGCCTCCCAAGTCCCTGTTCTGCCTTCCTGGGAGATGTCCACAAGCCTTGGGCTGCGCTTTAGTCAATTCCAGGCTTTGAGCGCTGGGCAGAGCTGTTTTGCAGGATTCTTGGCTGCACCCCTGGTAATCCCAGGATCTTCCCACAAGGACCTGGGTGTTTGCCGAGTGTGATTTACTTTCAGCCTTTTTTTGTCCCTGCTTGTGTCTCCCTGCAGTCCACTGTCAGCCAAATGTGTCTGTGCAGCAAGTGCCCTGCTGACCAGTGCAGGAGGCACTGGTGTGATACTGGAAATTACTCCATGTCCATGCCCCTGTCTGGTTGGTGCAGACAATGTTGCAACCTTTGTCCTGGAAATGGCTTGCAGGGCTGAGCTAGGGACACAGCGTGCACCTTTAAGGTGGTGTGGGGTGGTGGCGAGGCAGGGGACTATCTGCTCGGGGCAGCAGTGTGCTCATTCCTTCCTTCACAGGGTAGCTTTTAGTTGTGTGGTTGAGGTCCAGAAGCAAGCTGACAGTTTAGGAAGTGATGGGAAAAAAGCTGCAAGGATGGCATGTGCTCTAGAAAGACCTGGCCTGGAGAAAGACGCACAGGAGCTGCCCATGGCCTCTGTGCAAAAAGCTGAAGATCCGCAGTTGTGATTTCTGGTCATCCACATAGAGGGCATGATTCTGTGTCATGTTTGTTGCTGGCCAGAGAGTTAAGCGGGGTCTAGTAGCTTGGGAACTGGGGCCAGAGATTGTTTGGAATTCAGAACAGAATTTCTTTTTCTTTTGATATGAGGGAAAGTGCAGTCAAACAGATCCCTAAAAGGCTCTGGCAAATTGGCTGGCCCTTGACTTCCCAGTCCCAGGCTGGAACCCTGCTGCATTAGATGCTTTAGCTGAGCAGGAGCTGCTGCTATCAGCTCTAAGGATACTAGGTTGTTAGCAGTCCACATCCTATTTATGAGCCAAACAAGAGGGCCTGGTGGCCCTTTTTGGGCCTTGCCTCTTGTTCGGAAGCTCACGTGGCTGGGTTTTAAACTGAAACTGTGACAGCTTGCCTTCTGCAAGACATACACTCTGCTGCAACCCCATCTCACGTGACCCTGAGAAACAGCTTTCAGCTCCTGTCCAGATAAGGACCTTCATGCAGCAGTGCAGAGTCTGCTGAAGCAGCTCTTACAGGGCATCTGTGAGCCTTTGATTTGCGTGGGGCTTCCCTGGAGGAGGATCTTTGCTATTTGGTGGTAGCACCAAGGGTGCATCCCCCACGCAGGCCCTTGGGAGACCCTGCTGCAGGGACATGGTTGCTGACAGAGTGTGTGCGCTGCACTTTCAGTTCTGCATGCGCTAAAATAGAAGTGCTTGCTTCCTTTCTGCGGGCTGTGCACTGATACTGGCACCGCCTTGCTGCCTGTACAGAAGCAGGACGCAGACCTTTGCGTTACTGGGTCATCTCATCAGCTCCCTCCCTTGCTCACACTGCCGGGAGAGTGTGCCTGCGCCCGTGTGATGCTTTGGGCGCTGGCATGTCCTGCGCTGGAGCACATCAGTGAGGAAGCAGAGCTGTTCTCTGTCTTGGCACCAGGGCACCTGCATGGCCATGCTGTAGCGGTCAGAGGAGCAGCAGTGGAGCTGGCACATGGGACCCCCAGGTGCTGCCCTGCAGGAGACCATGCCCCAGTGCTGGCTTGTGCTGCACAGGGGGCAGGGTCTGGAGGGTAGGGCTCATGGGAGTAACTGCCTTTTTCTGCACCCGGTCCAATGCACAGCCCAGCTGGGCCCTAGGAGCTCCAGGGAAGACCCTCCTGTGCTGCCTGGCCCTGTTCATCTGTGTTCATGTTGGGTTGGGGTGGGAGGCCTGGGGTCTGTCGCTGGCTCTGGGCTGGGGAGGGCTTGATATGGCTGCAGGATGGCCAAGCTGTGTGGGGCTCGGCTAGGCCCCTTGGGGAGGATGGCAGGGCCCAGGCAATTGGGGGCTGGGTGGCAGTGGGTGCAGGGGGACCCAGGGGCTGATGTGGGAAGCAGAGTCTGGGGCTGATCTGCTCTCCTTGTCAGGGAAACGGCCCCAGCGATGCTGGCGTGGTGGCCCGGCGAAGCAAAGAGGGCAGCGAGGAGACGCCGGCCCTGGAGATGGCCGTGAACTCCATTTACTACTCAAGAGACGAAGGTGGGTCCTGCTGCTGCCCTGATTTCGGGCCACCTTCTGCGGGGCCTGTCCTGCTGCTGCCCCACGGCTGGGACTCCGGTGGCAGGGCGAGGCCTCGCCTGGAACTGGGGACATGGCTTCCTGCGCTCTCCCCTGAGCATCCCTGTCCCCGCAGTGAATGCCTTCTGGGTGACGGTGCAGCGGACGGAGGCTGCGGAGCGGTGCGAGCTGCGCGGCACCTACGTGCTCAAGGCTGAGCGGGATAGCCTCATCCTGAAGGACCCACAGACAAATGCCATCCTCTATGTCTGGCCCTATCGGCTTCTCCGGAGATACGGCCGGGACAAGGTGTGGGGCGGGGGGGGCCTGCATGCCCTGGGTCCTGTTCCCCCACGGTCTTTCCCTGGCTGAAGGGGAAGGAGCTGATGTGCCCGACCAGCCTCTGGCAGCCCTGCAGTTGGCCCTGCCAAATGCCAGAACTGCTACAGCCCTTGGTGACCGCAGCAGGGTCCCAGGGGCAAATATGATCCTCTCTGTCCCTGGCTGCTGCTTGTGTCGCTGCGCAGGAGCATGGGCTGGCAGGACACCCATCCCCGCTGAGGGCATGGCTGTACAGAGGCCCTCTCAGTGTGGTCCTTGCCCCACTCCCACTGGGGCCGTTGCAGCCCCTGCCATACCTGCAGCCGGCCATCCCTGCAGCTGGCTTGCCTCCCTGCAGCTGGCTTGCCTCCATTCTCCATCCCAGTGCTCCCCAGCCCATGCCATGGGCAGGCCTGTCCTTCCTTGCTGTGCACAAGCTCTCCCCAGCCTCTGGGGACCTTGGCTCCCTGCAGTCCTGGCTCTGCCCTGGAATAAGTCCATCCCTCCCGAAGGACGGCGGCCAGAGCAGGAGGGGCTGTTTGAGACATCAGTGACTCTAGATTCATTCACCTTATGGGGCGTACTGCTCTTAGCCTGGCTGACCTGTGCAGGTCTGCCCCCTCTCCAGTGTCCTCCAGCAGCAGGTGCCCGATCTGTCTGGCTGCTGCCCTGAGTGCAAGAAGTACCTGCCGCTCTGGATGGGGAGGAAGTGGTCTCCCCAGGGCTGTTTATAGAACTGACGGTGTTGGCTACAGTTTGCTGATGGTGCTTTCTGCAGCACTTTACCAGAACAGAAGTGGAAACTTGAGCTGCTCTTGGGGAGACATCTGGCTAGTCTGCAGGGTCTGTGCCAGGGGCAGGACAAGAGCCACATGGTGTGAGGAGGAGGCAGCTGCACCCACAGGTCGCTGAGCGGTGTCGGGTTGGCTGTGCTTGTGTTTGGCAGCATTGACCCACAGAAGGAAGTCTGGCCTCAGGTTTTTGCAGCAACCCAAGAGGCTGATGCTGCATGTGAGAGAGCACCAGTGAGGCAGAAAATCTCACCTGGATTCAGGGACTGAGGTTCAGGAAGGGTGTGGGCATCTGCTGGTGGGAACCCGCGCACGAGTGTGTGTTCAGGCCTGAGGAACACAGCCTTGGTGCAAGACTTCCCTTTAAAGAACTTTATACCATTAACAGAGTAATGCTGGTAAGGCAAATGCTTTGCTTACTGTTGGTAGCCAAGCTGCTGCTTCTGGCCTTTCTCCTGTGGAAAGCCGTGGTGCCTCTGTCTTGTATTTCTCGCCTCTGGATCGCTTCCCTTCTGCCTGACTAATGCTGACTTACCTGAGATGCTCGTAACAGTTTCCCCTGCT